AAAGGCTATAAAACATGCAATACAAATTCTGAATGTATGCATTTCAGAAATATTCCATGAGCATAAATGCTAGATTCCAAATTAACTTGTATAAAACTGGTAGCTCGAGTGCTTCTACCTCACTTTTTCTTACTTTTCATTTCTCAACCATTTTTATCCCCTGCAGCGAGGGAGTAAGGAGGTTCAACACCAAGGTATTAAAGATTTGTTAACTATAGAAGGTAAATGAGAGATTGCATATTGTTCGAGTATCCTAAAAGCAGTTATGCCTTCTCTATTAACAGCAATGTACACCAAAAATACACGTGAGAATAGAAAAATTATAAAAAAAGAAAAAAAAAAAATGTTTCTGACTTGAGGCAACAAATAAAGAACAAATATTAAACACCGTATTTATTTTTCTTTTTTTTTTAAAAAAAAATCTATACTTTAATCTGTCTGCTCCAAATGTTCCAATACTTAACCAGAATGCACACTGCATCGAGGCACATTTGCCGTTACTTTTATTACAAACTGGTTAGGCTTCATCAAGAACTTTTTCTCAAGTAGAAACATTGGCACCTACTTTTCCAGCACTTAGTATTTGGATTTTTATGTCATCTTCTCCCAACATCAATTAAGGTTTTGCGATGTTTCTAAGAACTGCCACTCTAAAGAGCTCTAAAAGTTAAGGAAATGAACAAGTGCACATATGGAGAGTGAAAACTCAATTCTTTCAATTTAGAAGGTAAAAACAGTGAGTTTGTGGGGATAACGTTTGGTCAATGACTTCAAAATGACGAGAATTTTCCAATTTATGTTTCTCCTACCGATGCTTTTCGTACTGTGATAAGATATATATGTTATAGATTCAATTAAAGTACATTTCGAAAATCTTTGACGAGTACTAGAATTATGAACTTCTAACCACCTAATAGTTTAAATGTTGGTAACTTATGGAGAAAAAGTGAAGAAGAATAAATGTAAATATGATATAAAGAAAAAGGCGATTATACCTGCGGTGACAGCAAGTCACAAAGATTCAAACTAGCTTCCTGTACAACTAAAGGTTCCAACATTTGTGCTGCCGAAGGTGAGACACCAGAGCCTTTGTCTTTAGTTTGTTTTTCAGAGTTAACATTATCCACAACCCCACAGAGTCCATTTTCAGGCACCTTTGATTGAACCTGTTTATTTAGCTCAGCTGGCGCGGTTTCATCCAGAAGTTTTTGTTCAGAGGTAAGAAGGTCCGCACAAATAACTTTCCCAATAAGCTTTGGTTGATTAGCATTAGCTTCTACTGCTTCAGCTGGTGTCCTAAGAGTACTGGACATGCCTAATTTACTAGAGCAGTTGGCTTTCACACTCAATATCCAGTGAGCCGCCTTCTCTCTCTCCTGAACCCGGGTAGATAACTGCCTTGCCTCAAGATCTTTTAACTGCATGTCTTCAACAAGCTTATTTTCTTCCATTTCCTTTGCGTATTTACGGTCCAACACCTTGAGCTTGACCGTTCTTTCCGAACCTTCAGCGTATATAGAATTAATGAGCGCCAATGCCATCTGGTGATCAGTCTCCAATTTTAATCTCTTCACCTCCCGATTGTGGAGGAGCTCTATAGCCTCCAGCTTTTGCTTCTGAACAAGCTTTCTCATCCGCTTGTTGCATCTCCTGTGTATTTCATTGACAACATCGATTAGTTTTTGCTGTGAAAGGGATTGACCTTCACGATGTTCTTCGTGAGTAGAAAACTCTTCAGTCTCCATTTTCACATCTTGCAACACGATGGGTGAAGAGGATGAGATCCCTTTACTGATGCTGGATTTCCCGTCATTGGGTCCCTCTCCAGCTAACAAGTGGCCGTCGTTTAAGTTCATACACTGAAGGTACATCCACTTGAGGTGAAGCATCTTTGCATAAACCGAGTATACTTGTTCTTCTGTGCACTGGTAATTTAACAACGTTTTTGCTAGATTTATGGAATCGGTCATGTTTACTTCTTGCTTTGAGATTGATGCGACAACCCGTAACTGCCAAGTAAGATCAGATAATTGGCGATAATAAGGAAAAATAAATCAGAAAGGGGNAAGAAACATTTTCAAGATTACAGTGTTCACCCATTCAAATTTCACCCAGTCATGTCCAATACTTATATTACTAAAGAACGTGATAACTGTTATCACTCAGATAATTGGTGGATAATAAGGAAAAATAAATCAGAAAGGGGGTGGGAATCAAGGTTTGTAGGAATCATTTACAAGATTACAGTGTTCACCCATTCATATTTCAACCGGTCATGTCCAATATTTATTTTACTAAAGAATGTGATAATTGTTATCATTCTTCTTCTTCAACTGGTCATGTCCAATATTTATTTTACTAAAGAACTTGATAACTGTTCTTCTTCTTTGATTTTCTTCAACTTCCATTATATATTATGTATTAATGAACTGATTTGCATAAGAGAAAGATTAAGATAGTCTACTCGAATTTACAAATTTCAAATAAATAAATAAATTTATCCATGTTGCTTAAGACACGATTAATCTTTATTATGTAGTATGAGATCATAGGAAAGTTGGATAAAAAATCTTTATTGCCTAACTTATGTTTTATAATTTATACATTAAATCACAATTATGATTCAAAAACTATTTCTACAAATTTGATATTAATTTTAAAAAAAATAATAATAATAACTTTCTATTTTTTCTCTCTTTACATTATATTGTTCAATATTATTTCATATAACTATGTTTGGTATCAGTTTGAATATTTTAAATGTAGTTTGTATATATAAGAGAATAAATTACTTTTACAAATTTCTTTTTTCACTAAGATCAATAATATTTGTTTCGGATTCAAAATTTCAAACTATTTGTTTATAGGAGTGTAAGTTATATTGGTTTCTTTTGTTAAATTAATGTGAAAAATATAGTTTACGAGCATTATATATTCATAAATGGTGAAGCTAAAATATAATCCCCTTATATGATTTTCAAATGCGTTAAGCAGTCGCACGCTTCGGGATCATATAGAGCAAATTTTCACGTTTTGTCATTTGGTTTATATGAATTTTAATTTACTTTCAATCCAAAAATAACTAGGCTTCGAATATTCATAAATATATTGGGTCCTTTTTAAGAGCATTAATTATGTTTTAATATTATTGGTTTATAAGGTTTATAAGGAATAAATTTGTTTTCCCCAATCTTTCTTTTATTTATAAAAAAATTTACTACCTTATATTACAAATAGATTTAAAAGTTAATAAATTTTTTGTTTATTATGAAATTCTTTATATATACTACATGAAATTAATCATGTCTCGATGAGTTTAGATTAGACACCTACATTGTACATAAAAAATAAATAAATAAATTTATTTATCTTTATAATAAAAATTAAATTACATGTTAATACTATAAAAAAAAATTAAAATTATTCAAATTAAAATTATTCAAATTATTCAAATTAAAAAAATTTAAAATTATTCAAATTAAAATTATTCAAATTAGTTATATAATATAAGTTAAAAATATTATTGTAATATAAGATGATATGTCGTACAAGTGTTGGATGCCATTTTAAATAAAAATAACAATATAGTTTTAAAAAGGTATTTGAAAATTAAAACAATTTATTCTTTGTTTTTTAATTTTAAGTAAATTTATTAACAAGCACTCATGTAATACACGAGAATTGTACTTGTACTAGTCATACATTATACATGATGTATAAATATAATTTAATATTATATAACCATACATTATACATGATGTATGAATTTAATTTAAGACATTTAATTTCCTCAAATGAATAACATTTATCATTTGTGGTTAGTACACATTATTTTCAATGATTACGAGATAATTAGAATTTTGGATCAAACATATAACTAAAACCCCATGCCTATACAAACCCTTTCTTTTTAATCATTCAAAGGAAAAATATAATTTCAAATTAGCATTTGTAGTTTTAAATATATTACTTTCATGGTTGTAAGACATAATTAGCATTTCGCTAAATTGTATTTAATTAATCACTGAAAATATATTCTCTTATTTCTAAATAACATAATATTTGCCTTTGAGATTCTTGGTTACAATATTTTTTAAATAAAAAGTTCAAAAAGGAAAACTTATTGAACACGTGTCAATACACTATATGTGAATAATTTCCAATGGTTCCATAAGCCGTGTCATCCGATGACTCCATAGCAAAACCGTACATCTCTAAAAACAAAAATAAGCTTTTAATTGACATAATGTAATTCTAGAATATATCATTAAGTAAAATATATGATCCATCAAAAACAAATATCTCTAAATTATTCTTGCAGATAATATTATTTACGTTTCTCATTTTTAATAATGCGCATGGCTTACATGTCTTTTCATGCTTGTATGTAATAGATGGATTTATGTACCATTTTAAGAATAAACAATTATGAAAAAGAAAATGCAACAAAATCTTAAGTTTCAAGAACTATTATTATCACAAAATAGTTATACTCTTAAATCATTTATATAAAAATAAACAGCACATTTACATTTTTATGTCATTGGTTGGGCATCACTTCTTAAAAAATTAAATAATGTAAAAGATGTACACGGAGACGTGAAAACAATATCAAGATAAAAATAAAAATTGAGAAACCACAATTTTATAATGCATTAAACTAAGAATCATTTTTTTCATATTAAAGACATTGTACAAGAAAATTAATAAATTATAGTACATATGTAACAAAGTTCAAAATGCAACAGGCTCATCAAACAGCGCCTTTTAGCTTGATTCAGGAATTGCTTTTGTTGGGTGTGACATCTTCAATCCATCAAAGGATGTTATTGTTCATTAATAATTTTCTTACTTAAAAATAATTATAACTTTTTAGAATTTTTCCAATATTTTTATATCATATGTCACTATATCTAGAGAGAATATATTCAAATATTAAGAAGGATTGAACTTGCAAACACATATAGAATACCAGTTTTTAAGAATTGTCAAAATAATGTTCTCTCAATACCACAACTGCAATAAACAAAAGACAAGCGAAAGTAAAACATTCAAACCAAGTTAATTATCTTCCAATTAATTAGAAAAAATTGATCTCTACAGCTATAGCAAATTCAAATAAATGTCAAAGAGTATGGGAATGAAAAGAAGACGTGAAGAAGCTATACTAAGTATAATGACAACTATGATCACTAAGCAATGACAAGGATATCATTAATTAGCGCAATAAAAAAACGATGGAGACTTCTCTAGTAGTCACCAAAAAGAAATGATTAATTTCCTTCCTTTGATTTTCTACATAATTTTTATTTGCTTTTATTTAATCATAAGTTTCAATTAATACCATTGAATATTACATTTCAGAGTTCAATACATTTTATGTAGTTTATCATAAATATACCCTATTTTGTTAAACTAACAATAAAATAATATTAAGTGCAAAAAAAAAAGCAATAAAATAATTGAATATACTATAAGTACAAATTTAGAGAAAACTATACTTTCAAATCACCAAAAACATTATAAAGCATCCCGTACGCACATCTAAGAGTGAAGGAAAAAAATACTAACCAGGGATACTTGGAAAGCCTGCATACTTTCTGGTGAGTCTCCCCAGATATGGTCATTCGAGTCATTCGAGATAATATACTCTAAAAATCGTCTTAAAGTATGATTTACATCTCCCTGCATTTCAGAGAGGCAAGGCAGATATTATGTTCATAATTCATGACGCAAAACATAATGTCATTACCAACACAGTAATAACATTTCACTTGATAATTTTGACCATAAGAATTGATGACAACCTACTATCCTCAAGATTATTAACATAATTAAATAATATCAATCAATCATTCTTACACATCGCATTAACATTAATTCACTATTCATCCACTCACATAATTTTAACTCACCATCACTTCACATCATCTATCTACTACTTTTACATCAAATCGATTTTAAATATTTTATTTTAATATAAACTCAAAATCTCACTCACAACTAACCATACCACATTTTTCAAAATTAACTATGATTAACAAAAAAATCAATAAAATCCATATCCAATCACACCCTAACAATTTAAGGGCAAAAAATGATGAAAACAATTTACTTTCCAACAATAATAATTGATGTTTTCTTTAACTGTGACATATTATATTATCTTACAGAAAAAAATTCGTGAAGACGTCCTGCGCACACCAACGGAAGTACAAAAGGGGAAAAGAAAAGCATATTCTGCTCTGCAGAAACTGGTATGCGACTGAGTAATCAGTCAAAAGATACCACCACCCAGCATAGGACATAGAAGGAAAAAAAGAAGATGTATACCGGAAGTTTAAGAATTTGACATAGTTTTTTCGTTTCTTCTAATAGAAGATCATGGATGCTCTTCTGCTCATCAACTAGCGAATTTCTTTCTTCAGCTCCACATCTGTCAGCCAAAGGACTGAAAGGGCTTCGACCAGCCATGTCATCTCGACTATCTATAAAAGTATTACCGACTTTTAGAGAAGATTGAAAACTACTGGTCTGGTTCTAAATGATCTTGCATCACCATCAGAAAGCTTAGGTACTTGGGGAGTATTTGCAATCATTAGAAAAGGTGTTTGTGAGCTTCTTATAACTGACAAATATAAAAATCCAAAATAACTGTGCAAATGAAGGATTTTCTCTGACTCCTGCTTCATGTAATCAGAATATATTGCAAGAATCTTTCAGATTTCTAACTATGCTTCTGACTTTCCCTTCTCAAAATAGGAAAATTTACAATTTATTTATTAAACACAACCCTCGGACTAATTCAACTTATTCACAAACACTACAACATGTTATTTAAATACTTCTAAAAGTAGTTTTTTTAATTTCAAAAGTCCCCTTAATTAACTAAAAACATCAAGACATAAATAACATCTTTCTTGAAGTGAAAAAAACAAGGTGAGAATCATCAAACAATTACCTCCCTCTGGACCTCCAACTTGAATAACCGGTTGTTCATGTGTTCTAACTGGAGTCGAAGCTCGACATACATCTGCAACTGATTCATTTCCACGTTTATTTCCTGTATTATCATTCTCCAAGTGATGAACTCTCTTTCGACTCCTCTGGCAATGACCTAGTATATGCTTCTGCTGAGGTGTAATTTTACCCAAAAGAGTTGTCCAAAAAACATGAGGCTCTTCATCTTTTAGCTCAACTTTCGCCTCACCAAGCAGCGAGCCATTTGCACTATAACTTGAAACATCCAACTTTACTTTTGATATTACAGGAGTCCTTTGACTTATTTCACCGCAACCAGAAAGTATGGACTGGAACTCCTCAGCAATCTCGTCTAAAAGAGACTGGCCGGATATATCATTCGAACTAGAAGTCCTTTCAGCATGATAATCATCTAATTTCCTTAACAGATATGAAGCACCCCACATGAGCAGAGAGTCGCCATTAGTACGGCTTACGGTTTGATCATTGTCAAGATCTTTCAGATTTTTCTTTGCTAGGACAAGAGCTCTTTCTTCAACCGTACAGGATGAGTACAACCGAAAAACTTTGATCTGGCTGACGTCTAAGTCAATGGATATCTTCTGCAGTGCTTTATAATCATTCGCAGGATTCCAGTCACTGTTATATAAGACAACCAAATCCAAGGATGCAAGTTTAATAGCTGAACAACAAGCACGGTTTTCTAGTAATAAAATGAACTTCCCGTTTTCTTTCTTGTTGAACCGATTCACCGCTGCTTTCTTTGAGCTCGAAGAAACACCGGCAAAAATGCACTCATACGAGGTTTGGCTGAATTTTTCGGCCAGAAAATCGTTCAGAATATATCCAGTTGAAGACTTTCCCAGTCCAACTGACTGTCATAGAAATGTAAAAACCATCAACTGGTAGGGGATAAAATGTCAACATAAGAAACAAGAGTTCCACTCATATAATACCTGAAAGAGTATAAGTGCTTTTAACTCTTGAGCCTTGACCTGTGCAAGCATCATATCAAGAAGCTGTAGTTTACCACTTGCTTTTATCCCTACATCCAGAATCGTATCTGCAGAATGTCCCTCAGCAATCATCTGTTCTTGTATAGATGAGCTAACAAGGTAAGGGTGATCACAACACTGAAAGAAACGCAGACAATCATAAAGTTAAAAATTTGCAAAAAACTAGAACACATATGAAGTGTTTTTTCTTAACATAAGAGAATTAAACTTGCATCTCATATATTGAAAACTTACATCATTTTCAAAGGAATCAAGTTCTAGAAAATACGAGTTCAATGAGGCCTCTTTTTCAGTTTCAAATTGGTTATGCTTAATGTTGGTATAATCACAATCTTTTTTTTTTAGGACGTGCGAGTTGTGATAAAATTGTTCATAAGCAGTAAAGTTTAATATCATCACAGGTTAACAATCTATCGAACGTTTACTGGCGAGGGAAACAAACTCTGTGTATCAACGTACAGTAGAGAAATGACCAAACAAACTGCAAACCTTTTTAACTGTAAGAAGAATATCCTTGAAGGCTCCAACTTTGTCATTTCTTGAAGAAGCGCGAAGAAGCATAGAGTTGGAAACAAGTGTAGAACAATACTGCTCAACCTGATGGCTTGATAAATGAACAGGAACCCAGTACTCAAGGAACTTGGATAATTTTGAAGTATTTCCATATGCAATGAAACGAGATAGCCTCTCTTTCAATTTAGCAAGATTCTTATTATTGCGAGATCTCAAGCCCCTCAGCTTATTATATTCGTGTTCAGAATCGAGCAGTGACAAAATATGCAGATATTCGGATGTTGTATCCTGAGATGTCAAATAGAGAAAAAATCTCATGAGAAATGGCAATTGAAATATATGAAATAAAAAATAAAAAGAAAAAAAGATATGATGCTACTAGAAGTTTACCACTATTTCACTGCTAAGCAGAAGTATCCAAATGTCTGTAGTGAGAATCTTAATTTGTTCAAGATCAGTTGATATCCTAGAGTGCCCGTATTCATCAATTATAATAGAGTGCCATCTTATGCAACTCAACATTTCTAAATCCTGAATAGCATAGTTAAAGGGCAAGATATGGTTAAATTGTAGAACCATCAAACTGATCAGAGTAACAATATAGTTGGTATCGCAACAAAAAAATAAAAACAAAAATGACACTTTTCGATGTAGCTAGATTATGACATTATAGATCCAATAAACAGGAAGCTGCAGCTTCCACTGCTACTAAAAGAAACAAGAAAACAAAGACAAGAAAATTAGTTTCTAAGAGTTCAGAAATACCAACTTCTTCGGAATGATCATGCCTTTAATTTGACTTTCAAATATAAATACTCACTTATACAATTTCATTGCCAAACAATCTTGTGTAACAAATTCCATTTTCAGCTTTATCTTTCAAACACTACTAATTTTCAGTTCTCTGCTTTTAGCTTATAAATTCAGCTACAATCAATAGATGACAGCAGTTACCAACTTCAACTATTATAGCAAACGTGAATGAGCCAGTTGTTAGATGCTTATATAAAAGCCATGTAAGTTAAAGCAAACTCTATACCTCGACAACAGCTTCCGGGGAACACACAAGTACTTGGAGCATTACACGGCCTCCTTCTTCATAAAATTCAGATGCTCTAATCGCCTTCCTGGTGTCTATATTTCCATTATAAACAACAACACTAACAGATGGTGCAAGTCGTGCAAACTCAGCCTCCCATTGAGATGATGAGTCAGAGGTCGCAACTATGAGGAAAGGATGACAGTGTTCAAGCAAGGATTTAATAAAGAAAACCAGAGTCTTTACTCGATCCTGCATAGTTCAGAGTCAATGAAACACATTTAAAAAATGAAACTTCAAGCTTACTTTCAATCAACCACGCTGATTCAACACTTTACACTGTCTGAAAACTGATAATAAGAAAATAAAAATAGGTAATCTTGAAGATAGAATGATCCAGTGCAATGTTGTCAATAGTATAGTTCAGGCATAGATATGCATGCAAAATGAAGAAATTATGATTAAAAAGGTGCAAGTCACCACTGTAAGACAACAAGAACTCTCCTGTCAGGTGCGAAATCAGTTGTGGAAAATGATTTGGTTGATTAACATGATATCACTCTGACCCTTAATTTGAAGTATCATCATCACCATAACACGAGAAAATAGGTTATATAAGAATAGTATTCAACCTTGACAATGTTATAGGAATCAAAACAACCAAGTATAATAATAAAAAAAAAAGAAGAAGAAGAAGAAAGAGGGAGACAAATTTAGCAGATTAAAAAAGACAAAACTCGCCTTATCATCGAAAACAACAGTGTTCCGACAGTTGTACCAGCTCTCGCGCATTTTGTTCACATTTTCCAATACAAAATTATCATTCACACTCGACCTATTATCCGGAAGCTCCAGTAGTTTGACGAAAGATCCCTTCTGAGACTGCAATGTTAACAAAAAACAAACATAAACTGTTCAAATATTATGCTACCATAAATGAACTGTTAAGTTAGTTAAACTTCATAATGAATTAGTTGATTTTTATCATAAGTTGTATCTTAATGAGCTATGAAACACATAAACCATCAATAATATAAGGTTGTGGATCATTTTCAGCAATATTATATCCATTTTATATGGATGGCATGTCAACATATGTATATAAAAATCACAAGCTTTACATACCTTGAAAAAGAAAAAATATGAAAAAAATACCAGATACCCATTCGGCAACCTACAGACTTGAGTAGATTAACCTCACAGCCATAGAGGTTGGCCATACTCAATACTAGAGTCAATCATATCTTATGAGTCACAATTGTTCGGACCCACTTTCCAATTCTACTTACGTTCTGATACACAGGTCCTTCATTGCCAAAGAATCAATCCAACTGAAGGATCATACGATGTACTAAAGTATTAACTTAATATCACGTGTATTCAAGAAAAAACAAACACAACAACTCAACCTAAGTCATGTGGGTGAACCCTATGGTGGGGTCAAAAGTAAATTTAGCAAAGTACACATAATGTCATAAGAATTTGTCAATCGTGTATCTACTAGAACCACTTTCGAATTCTAATTATGTTCTTATACGCAGATCCTTCATTGCCAAACAACCAATACAACTGAAGAGTCATATGACGTAATAAAGTATTAACTTAACATCACGTGTTTTCAAGAAATAACAAACACCCGTAATTCAACCTAAGTCATGTGGGTGAACCCTATGGTGGGGTCAAAAGTAAATTTAGTAAAGTACACATAATGTCGTAAGAATTTTGTCTATCGTGTATCTACTTAAACAATGCATATGTTATGTATCACATCAAGAAAATACAATCACGTACTACCAATTCCAAACCTGTCTACAAGAACAGTGCCTTATTTATGTACCAACTCAGGAAGAGAAAAAGAAAAAAGAATAACAACAATAATAACAAATTTAAGTGTAACTGAAACGTTTATAGAAAATCACCTGATCAACTTCACTCTTTGCCTTCCCAAGGCGATTTTCATATTCTTTCATGAGGCACTGACCAAAAGAACAATTTAAAAAATACGATGAATCTAGCTCCCAAGTAGCATGGTCATAATCAAGGCCACGCCATTTTACAAGCCACTCGTAGCTTTCAGGAATATCTGCAGAAGATGGTGCATGCATCTTACTCCGAATGGGTCTTTTCCATAATAAGCGATGTGGCACTGTCCAATCCAAATTCCAACTCATCGTCTACAGTCCACAAGAACCAGCATACCGATCAGATAACATTGCCCTATAGCTTCTGCTGATACATAGACCAACAACACAAGCAATCTAGTCGAACTTTAGTACAAGTAGAAATTTAACCTTATCTTCTGTAATAAAAGTAGAAAGAAGGGATTGGTTTTCGAGTAACAGTTGTTCCTCTGGCACCCAATGGTTGTAAATGTGAGCGAGACCTTGATACTTGACAAGATACTGCCTCTGTTTGGTTTCTACAATCAGCCAACAATAATAAAAGAAAAATCACATACAAGGATATGGTGAAGCAGCAGTAGAGCACACATAATTGAAGACCATATGTACATCTCTATCAAATTTTTAAATTAAGGAATCCTTATAAAACAACAAAAGTCTATATTAGTAAAGACGCCAAACCTTTAGTATTTGACACATCCACTTCTCTAACACCCCAAATAGACTCAATTCCTTCCGAGACAGAGTAGACACCGTGTTCAAGCTTCTTAATGATACACTTGGGACAGTGCCTTACACCTGGCAAATCATCAGGCAGCCAAACACCTACACAACAGAGATGATAGCGTCTCTTGCAATCTTTTCCCTCACAACACCTGCAAATGTGTGTGAACTACATAAGAGTACATCCCCGTGTGAAAAGAAGAGAACCAAAATGCAATAAGCTTACGATCTATAATCATATCAATCAAGAGATGCGGCACCAAATAAATCAATCAAGTGATTTTAATTAGAAACTAACTAATGGTACATTTGTAACCTAAAGGTCTCTAATTATCAAATATTCAGAACTACTGACACCATTATAATGAAGAGCTTAATATGAAGTTGCACCCACAGGAGCTCGCCGTCATTGCTGCACATGGCACACACAGTTCCATAATCTTTCTTTTGAAGATCAGAATGTATCTTTTTCAATGGATTACCACATTGACACCTTTCAGCAGACTTTAAGGTAACAACAGCTCCTTGATCAACGCCATCCTAATGGGCAAAGCATTACCAAAATAACATTGTCAGTGTATTTAATGAAGCTCTCTAATAATGTCGGTAGAATTTCTTGTTTACCTAAAATTGCAGCGAACAAAAGGGAGTAATTTTGATAAGGAAAAAGGAATCACACATAGAATGTGCATAACTGAAAAAGAAGTTGATATGCTTTGGGCAATATTAACCAGAGAACAAACTTTTGCAAATGTCGAGTTTGAGAAAGCTAGAGAATGTCCTTTGCCATACCCACATCACTCTTTCCCTGGTAGATGTCACATAATCTTCTTCTTATTAAATGACTCACTCTACCATATATCAAGATGAGTTACCGCGTTAAGTGAACAGGACGGTTATCAGCATATTCAATAACTTAAAATCCAATCAGAATGTTGTGAGATGATTTACCTATAATTTATTCTAAGAAACGGTCAATCCCCTCATACATGTCGTCTATATAACCTACACCGTTTTGTTGTAGGTTTAATAATACTATTAGCTTTAACTCCTAGATTGCAGTAATATGTGTGTTACAATGCCATGGGCATTCATACAAAACATCAGAAATTTGGCCATTTATAAATGCTGATAATTCGCTGTTCAAGAAAGGGAAAAATTGATTTAGATAGTAACATAAAACTATGACAAATGGGTACAACAGAAAAGTGTAACAATGTTTTCCTCCCTTTTTAGTTTAAGGGACGAGATTTCTAATGCATTAACTAAAATGGAGCAAAGATATCGACTTCTTACTGAGTTATCTTTTAGTAAGTAGTCATTGGATGTCCTTTTGGACAAGCTGAAAAACACAACTCAGGAAATAGAGCCAAAGATATGCACATGGGGCACATGCAAACACGCAACGAAAAAAAAAAAAAGGTACATAGAAGTGGAGTTCTAAAATACAAGTACAATCTATCAATAGTAATACAACAGACTGACCTTACAATTGGAGGAGCAGTACAGGTCTTTATGGGCTGTATCATAGCAAGTGCAAAGCTCTTTTTCTCGTGAATTATAGCTTATTCTGCATGAGGGCAACGAATAGAAAGAAACTCAGGCATAAAGTAGAAAAACCACCTTGTTTCATAATCCTCAGCCCACAACCCTCTTTCTACTTTATTCCTCTATGGATCTTTCTTTTCCTTTATTATTCTCACCTTTCCTATTCCATTCTCTCTTATCCCTATTCATTTTCTACAAGAAAAAAAAAAACAGTGGTTTCTTTTTATTAATCAGTCTGCTTCAGACCAACTATGTATGGAAATGGCAACTTTCAACATACAAATTTTATAAGTACTCTTACCACATAAGCCCCACTTATCTAATTTATATTTCCGTATACCTAAAAACTCCTTTTGCTTAAAAGTAGCTCTTATCAGGAAACAACTCCATCTGCAGTAAGCTTCACAATTCACAACCCACGACATTCACCATAACTACTTTTTCAAAACTCAAGCCCATCAAAGTATGCTTCACAATTCACAACCCACGACATTCACCCTCAATACTTTTTCAGAAACTCAAGCCCATCAAGGAAGGAAGCACGGATGTGATCTGAGTAATGCCAAACAAGTACTTAGGCATCACAAACAAACTACTGACCTCAAATTCCAACGACTCATGCATTAACTAACAAACTACACATATCAACTTCTAGTACGGTGGTTGATACATGTGGCAGGCCCAATGAACTTCGTGAATGATTAAGAACTTTATCACACTATTATACATTTACTAGACAGACCGAAAACACACAGCAAAAAAAAAATAAAAAGTACAAAAACGGATATGAAATAATCATAATGAACCATAAGAGTTAAAGACATACCTTTTTTCTTTAGAGCATATAGCACAGGTGCCAAGAAGACTGCAATTTTCACACTCAGAAGATTGTTGAGTAGACCCTGCAACTGAGGGGAAATCATCACAAATTTATAAAAAGCTACATATCTAGATACACTTTCTTGCTCAGGATCATCCTTACTGTTACAACAGTGCAATTTGATTGTGCCCTTTCAGAAATGTTGGATATTTCTCTAGCAACTGAACATGCCCGTGAATATTCTAAAACATTCATATCTGCAGGATCATCCACAATTCAGAAGGTTCAGATCCAAAAAAGGGTTTAATTTTTTAACATGAGATTGTCTATTTTGTCCTAGTAATTCCCCCCACGAACACCTAATGCATGATTGCTGGGGACGTGTGTACTGGTGGTGAATAACTTGATCAAAAATAAACTCCTACTAATTAATTGTTGGTCATTCATTACAAGTAGAAAACCTTTTGCTATACAGAAAATATACAATAAATAAAATAAAGAATCTTCTTCCCTGGCTAAGAAGTACGTTACAAAGCTAAATAACCATATAAAATCATATTCTTACTACCACTGGTCCTGGCAAATGCAGAAACAGTGTATATAAAGACCACTGTACCTTGCACATTGTCATCATTGAATTTTCTTTTAAGTAGAGACTTGAAAGCACGACCGGTCAATTTCCTTCTCCTCACACTAACTGAGTCTGGGTAAGCTTCAGCTTTCTCAGATTCCATTGTCTCTTCCATTGCACTTAACTCAGAACCAGTGTGATTGGATGATAAATTACCCTTATCCTTAAGACATCCTCAATGCAATTTCCTTAGGATTTTCAGATTTTCCTTTTCACACAAAAAGGTGAAGGTCAAGTATCATGCCACAATCTCTTCAGCTGCAACCATGGAAAAATTCTGAAACTGGAAAGAACATGTGGCCATAAGTTCAAGCAGAAGAAGGAAAGCATGTACTGGAAGAAACAATAATGAAANATAGTATCGGCGATTCCAGGAAATAATAATCTCACTGTTGTCTTTGCTGAAAATCCCATTACTAAACAAGACCTAAAGGAATCAGAACAAGAATGGCTTAAGAAATGTCTACAAGAACACTAAATGTAACAACAAGAACGAGAAAATTGCTTCGAAGTTAACACCTCCCATTTTCACTTCCAGGTTGCAGTGTACCGAAAGGCAAAACGAACTCAAAGAAAATAAAATTGAAGAGAAATCGTAACTTCGAGCGTAAAACAAAACCCTTGAATCTGGGAATGATTTTAAGCAGAATATACCAAAATCTTAGAAAATTACTTTGATATTAATTAGTTTTCCCTTCAAAACTGAAGAGTATGATAGGAAAAACAGAACACCTATAATATAGAATCCAGAATCTCTGAGTAATCTTTTATTTCTCTAGCTGAACCCATGCACGTATTTTCTTTCAACCGGTTGACGGGATAAAACTAAGAAGATTCACATGTTTTCGCATTTCTTGTGGAGGAGTAATTTGGTTTCTGTGTGAGGATTGATGTGTTTTGGATAATGTTCTCTACAACTTTCTGTTACACATATCGGAGAATGTTATAATACAAATATTATTGAAGAACTCTAAACAAACACCACCCAAAGGTTAGGTGGAAAACAATATTGATCATTTTAATTAAAAAAAATAAATCTAAACAAACACGGGTTTGGGGCTGCTGTGACATATTTACATCAGCCCCAGCTCTAAAATATTAGCCCTTGAATTCCTAAATAATTAAAAGCAGATCCAGAGTAATAAATAAATTGTTACAACTTTATCTTCACTGAACACTTATCAGTTCTCAATCAACAGACTTCTCTCTCTTTTTTTTTTAAATACAAATTCAGACATGAGATTTAACCCATACAAAACCATAATGTTATAATAATCCATAACTCAACATCGTGTAGGAAATCATGCGACTACAATTTTTATGTCAAACCAAAATACTCAACTTGACTTCATAATCTAACTTCCAAGGTTTACACAAACGAGCACTCTTCCAAGACCGAAACCACAAAACCTCCCACAAAAGATGCATTAGGGAGGAGTTTCAAATTAGTATACACCAGCATGCTTCATTCAACAGACTTCTCATTCAACGGTCTATGTCAATGAACGCCTGTTAACCAATGTTGAACGTGTAAGGAGGAAAAAAAAAAAATNCTATGTCGAGGCTTTCTTGCAAACCCATCAGAAAAAAATAGGTATGTCGCCGGCGGAAACCCATTAGAAAAAAAAAAAATCAACCTTTATTTTCAGCATCTTTGTAATGCGGGATACAACTGTGGTGTAGGAAAGCCAGTCTCCGAGCAGCCCCGATCAAGATTTTCCGCCTAGCTGGCCAGTTTAATTCAACCCGTTTTTTCTTTCCGCCGTGCAAAACATCTTCCAAGCTCCCATACACGAGAAGTCGTTCTTCCCCGACTTTACAGTACCCGAGAAGGGGACCTAAACTCCGATGCTTGATTTTCCCGATTGTCTCCATCTCGGCCGTGAACTCGCGCTCCCGTTGCCCAATGACGTGGATTGGTTTCTTGATCGCGACCACACTCCAGTCTTTGAGCTCGACTTTGTACTCGTCGCCAAAACCGCCCGAACCGATAAGGCTCTCGTCGTTGAAGCCGTGTGTAGCTTCTAGAAGGTCGGCGAACTTGAGTTTCCGGAGAGGCTTATCGAATGCGGCGAGGTTTATGCTGAGTTGTTTGCGAATCGGTAGTCCGGGAAGGTGTCAAACGAGGCCATCTCGGGTATCATCCCGGACAGCTCGTTGTTCGACAAGTCAATGAGCAAAGTGAGGTTGGTCAACGACTGGGAGATAGTTTCAGTTTCCGCTGCATTACCGACTCCCGACTTCACCTGAACTCCTCTTCCGCCCTTTTCTCCCACGAACACGTTGAACTTTTCGTCTGCAAATACCGGCCATGTCAGCATCAGCCAGGACACGAGCTCGAGCTCCTCCTCCAGCACGCTCCTCCTCACGACCCACACGAAAGGTCGGCCCAATGCCTCCAGGCTCAAGCCGAGCTCCTCCTCACCAAGTGGGTTTTAACTGGCTGGAGTTTTAGTCTCACCATCCGAATCAACATGCCATGGACTGAGATTTTTGTGCGTGTGCACAGGTGTGTGAAATCAAGGGGAGAACAAAGATGAAGGATAATTTAGTGGTGGTATAATTTGGTGTTATTGCTTCTCTCTTTTCCTCTTGCAGAGGTAAATTTAGTATATAATTTGGAGTGGCTAATTGAAAAAAAAAATACTTGAATTGGAACTCACACTCACCAAAAGAAAAACGATGCTCATCACGGATAAGTGGGAAGAAGATAAAGACAGAGACGGCCATAAGTACTAATAGGTGTAGAAAGCTCCGAGAAATAGAAAATTGTGTTGAATGAGAAGTGCTCGGTGAAAATAAAGGTTGTGACAATTTATTTGTCATTTATTTATAACCCTTGATCTATTTTTAATCATTTAGGAATTCAAGGGCTAATATTTTATAGTTGGGGCTGCTGTAAGTATGTCACAGCANAAAAACACCAAGAGGAGGATTAAGGCCGAATTGTTAGCCTGTATTTAGTCATGACCCTAAATTGGTAAAAAAAATCACAGGTCTACACAGTCCAACCAAAAATCGAAAGCAAAAACGAGAAAAAGAAAAAGACAACAACCAAAAGGCAAAGTCTGAACCTAGGATGACTGATGTCCAGGCAAATAGTGTGCTCCACAAAGTGGGTCGAAGCACAAAAATATAAAAATGCAGGACAACTACTATAATCTAAACAAAAGGTAGCTCATTTGGTCCATCTCCACAAGAATACGAAGACGGAGAGGGGTGTCATCCAAGTGGAAGGTGCGCCTTTATGGGGTGGAGGCACTTAGGCCGGCTAAGTTGTCAGCAGGTCTGTTCCCCTCCCGAAAGATGTGCGAGGTTCGATAGCGAATCGACTGAAATGTGGATCTGATGCACATGAGCGGGTGCTGATTCTTTCACGAGTCCTGGTGGCCTGAGGAGGGTGGCAACAGCGGCAGCGTCCAGCCTTATCCAAATGTCAGAAGAGATAGAGGCTACTATCCAAAGACTGATCTGAACCGCCTGAACCTTCGCGTCGTAGCTCAAGAAGGCTTGAAGAGGGGCTTGGAAGGCAGTAATGAGAGCTCCGCTGTGATCCCTAATCAGGCCCCCACCTCCGGCGGCTCCGGTAAGTCGGTCAAACGATCCGCCTCTGTTTAGATTAACCCGAAGAGAATCGGGTTCCAGCCAAACAACGGTTCTAGGGTGTAGGTGTTGGACAGACGGCAGCGGAGATGGTACGGAATGGTGGGACGGCTTGAAGCCTGTCCAGTCTCTAGGCGTGAGTCTTCCCAGAGCTGTGAGGAGCGAGAGATGTCGATCAACCTGCAAAACAATGTCAGAGCACATAAAGGTAATATCCCCATGCTTCGCACTATTTCTTTCTATCCAGATGAACCATATGATCAGACAAAGGATGAGGAAGCCATGTGTGTAAAGTGTGTGCACTGTGAGAAAAAACTCAGGAGCACATAAAAACTGTCTGTAGTATGTAGGGGTATATGAGTATAAGTGGACAAAAATTCCCAGACTCTCCTTGCAAATGGGAAAAAATCTCAGTCTGGAAATCTTCGGTCTCAGCATAGCAGTAACATCGCGAAGGGAAGGAAAACCTCCTCGCATGCATCACAGCATCGATCGGAATTCGGTGCAGAAGAAGGCGCCCAAGGAAGACAGAGATGGTCGGGGTAAGCAGGTCGGTTCAAATGGCCCGAAGAAAAGGTTAGGGCGGTCACCCAGTTGTACTTCCCCCCAAGCCGAGGTCGTAGAAAATGCACCCGAAGATGTAAGTCTCCACCTCATACCATCTGAATCGTCCTCCGAGATGAGAATCTGCTGGATCTGATCTAAAACCTGGTCACTAAAACCTGCTCCAGCACCCAACACCCTCTCTAACCTATTATTAGATTTATAGAATGGGGGGAAGAGAGTGTGGTCCCACCAGATGAAGCGCACTATAAGAGGGTGAGCCTAGGTGCACCATAGTGAGGTTACATTCCAAAACCAATTGGTGATGAGAGGAGTAGCCCACTATACTTATAAACTAGGCTCATTTACCCTATAGAAGAAATGTGGGACAACTCACAAATGATATTCAACACCTATCCTTATCCCAATCCCCATCAGTCCACAGGTCCTTCACCCGTAGGGAAGGAGAGTGAGTGACCTGCTTAGTGCTCGAAAAATGCACCTCACCAAACCACCACTCGTCCCAAAAGCTAACATCCCCTCACCCAACGTTCAAAAGATGTGCTCCTGGCACGCCTAACTACCCTGGTGAGCCACTGTCACTGTCTACTATCATGAACGGTGATCGTCACCCTACAGAGATAATAGACACCTCTAGGGCAGTACTTCTCGTGAAGGTAATGAGCCCAAAGAGACTTTTTCTCCCTGAAGCGCCACCACATCTTATAAGAGAAGGTTGTGACTACATCCGATAGGCGGCGGATCCCAAGGCCACTCTCGAAGAAAGGCCGACAAACGGAATCCCACTTCACCCGGTGGACCTGTCTCCTCCTCTGGGAGTCTTCCCCATGCCCCCAGAAATAACGAGCCATGATTTGATCTAACTCGTGGATCATGTATTGAGGGGATCGACGACCATAAGGAGATGAAGCGGAAGGGCGCTAAGCCTAGCGATCCTAAGTATCCTAACACGAACCTTCTATCCTAGATCATCCCACTTCGAGCAAGTTGGGACCTCTATACTAGATAAGCACGTATCGAATCCTAACACGCATAAACACGCAATGAAAATAACGCAAGGCCTAAAATCGAACACAAACACATCATTCCAACCAAATCACGACTCGAAATAATAAGCCCTAATCAAGGTACTTATTTTCCTATAGCAAGATTGGACGAAAATAATGCGTAGAGAACGAAATTTAGATAAAAATAAGATAGCCGAAAACTCGCCGGAAAATGTCAAGTGTGCACCTCCAAACCAAAGAACAAAAAATATAGAGAGAAGAGAGAAGGGAGAGAATTTCCCCAACTAAGAAGTTGGGAAAATGAGGGGATTGTCCCAAAAATTACACACAAGCATCCTATTTATACACACACACAAACACACACATTTAATGAAATTATGAAGTTCGCAGGTCTTGAAACGGGGTTCGCAGCGAGTTTAGGCATGGAATAGTGCAGCTGGGCGCGTTCGCGGGTCACCAAACCTTGTTCGCAGCGAGTTTGGTGTTGGCAGGGTGCTTCGCGGCTCGCGCAATCAGTTTCGCTGCGAGTGTGGCATTTGGAGCTGCTGAGGTTTGCGTTTGGCGCGGGGCGAATCCTTGTTCGCTGCGAGTGTGTTGCTAGTGTGAGGAGCGCTGCGTTTGGCGGGTCGCGAAAACACTTTCGCAGCGAGTGTGTGGGAAGCTTGGTGCATGGGATGTGCTTCGCAGGTCGCCATTTCCTTTTCGCAGCGAGTCTGGGCAAGGGCTCCATGTGTGGTTCGCAGCCCGCCAATGTGACCTCGCGGGCGAGTGCCTAGGCTTGGCCTCCTAGTGCCATTTGGTGGCCCGAGAATCGGATTTTGCCGCGAACATGACCTTCAACTCGATTTCTTCACTCGGGTGACTCAATCGGTGATCTCTCTCTCGGAAACTCATATGGCTCGACTAACTCGTGTCGGAATGGCTCGACATCAAAATCATGGATAGTGACTCGAATAATAACTCGGAAAATGGCTCGTTTCCCCAAACATTTATAATGGACCTATAAAACACACCAAAAGAGACGCGAAAATACGACAAAATACAAAAACACATAACGAGAACGAAAACACATAAAACACGACAAAATGGACCGGTTGACACTAAAACGAACTTAGAAACACTAAACTAAAACACATAAATCACACAAAAATAGGCACAAAAACACAATAAACAACTCCTCCACACTTAACTCTTTGCTTGTCCTCAAGCAATCAAAACAACAAGTAGCTCGAAAAGAAAAATTGAGAAGTCCAAAATTAACGAGCATGCGAAATGAAACTCTCGTCTTCATCTGAATGTCCATAAAATCAAACTCCAATCCGAAAATACGTTCCCCACATAGTGAATCCATACAAAACAAAAATCCGTCCCAAGTCATCCTACACATGATTTACTCGATTCAAACTTCCTTTATTCTACATATACGTGCAAAACCTATAAATGGTCTACGAAACATGTAAAATAATAAACATAAGACCAATGAGCCAACTCCCATTCTCTTTCTTCTTTTTCTCTTTTTTTTTTCTTCTTCTTTTTTTTTTCTTTTTTTTTCTTTTTTTTTTTTATTATGTGAGCTTCTTTTTCCAAACGAGGTTTCCTAGACAATGCTTATCTAGGTTTAACCTCGAGAGGTCTCCTCGAGTTCCCTAGACCGGTTTCCCAGGCTCATTATCCCATTCCACGAGGTGAATCGGGATAAGAGGAACCTAGTCCGTACCTCCTCGCGAACTCACATTTTACTACTTTTTTTTTTCCGAATGGAGTGGCACACAAGGATACATCACAAATACAATATCATAAACATCACAAATCAATCAAAACATACCACAAGTGTATAACATAACACGTTTACAATAATCGAACATAAGGCAAGTATGTCTCAAGATCATCAATCGAGAACAAACGAGGGACAAAACAATTCCGTGAATTCACATGCGGGTTCTCATGTAAACGAATTATCATTCAATTTTAGGACACCGTCCAATTCATCAAGTACATAAAGCATGAACGTTAATAATAGAGCCAATCAACCATCTCGACTCACCACTTAGCCATCTTGACTCTTGAACAAACATCGAGCTTCATGCGGGAGAGACGACACAAAAACACAAAAACTCAAACAAAACCGATCCAAGACACGAAAAATACGAAAAATAAAACACAAAAAACGAAAGAAATATCGCCTAAACATGCATAATCACGAAATCCCTCCCCCACACTTAAAACAAAACAATGTTCTCATTGCTTGATCCAAAAAGCATGGAATAGAGCACATAATCATACAAGATCATGCGAGAAATGAAACAGAATAAAATAAACGAACGAAATAAGAGGCACACAAACATGAACACAAGAAAGAAACAAGAGAAAAAGAAGATAAGGAAAAGAAAATGCGTACTCAACACGGTGATGCACCACCGTGTGTCCAATGGTGTTCGTCCGGTGGGAATAACGAGAAATAATCCGAAGGTCCTCGAGTGCAAAATAAAGTCATCCGACCGTGTGAACAATGAAAACATATCGAACCATAAACCATCCGGGCACTAAGACATTAAAAGCATAAGAGAATCCCGTCCGTCGGCTCCGAGTAAAGGCCATATGTATGTGTCTCGGAGGGATAATAACCGTGAACTCACAAACTCGACGAGGACACAAGTATGCGTGTAAGCTCAAAAATCGGGCCACGGCACCGTCAATGATACTCGCCATAATGACACGACCAACTCCTCTTTGCGTGCATCATAACGCATCGATTACCGGCACTTGCCGTTAGTAGCAACCTACAAACTCCAAAATCCGACAACAACAACACAAGAATTGGCACGCCCAGCAAGATGTGCCCAACACAATCGAAGAATCACCTCAATCACTTAATTCGACTCACCAAAGCCACTACTCCGGCAAGAGTAGTGTTCCTCATCATCCTAACCAACCAATAATCAAGAAAAATCGAAAGAGACGTGATACCTTGAAGCTCGTCGGAAAATATGGTGCCGGAATGTGAAAACTTAAAAATAAGCATGGCTTGGAGCTCCGGTTGCTGGAAAATGAACCTTCCGTGGACAATCAATGAAGGTTTGCTAAGAAAATTGCGAAAAAACGGCGAACTGGGGGCTAGGTGAGTGAATTTTGGCCGGAAAATAGGTCGCCGGAAAAGTTCACCGGATCCGGCAAAGGTGACCGGAATACGGTGCGCCTCGGTGAGAGGAGTCCGGGAGTGCCTTCGGATTTTGATAACTCCAAGTGAGTCACCGGCAATTTGGATTTGAAGGTTGAAGTAGATTTGTAGATCTACGAGCTTTTGGCCGAAAATCGGAAGTCTACCCGCCGGAAATTTTGCATGAATCCGAGATATGTTGTTGGCACCGACGAGAACTTCGCATTGATGTAAAATTTTTCATGATCGGAGGTGGTTGGCCAGAGCGGACGGCGGCAGGCGGCAGCACTGGGCGGCAGGCGACGGTGCGACTGGCGTGAGGAAGAAGATGGGCAGCTGGGCTTGGGAGGTTTCGCGGGGCGCGGAAATGAATTGGCGTGCGAAGAGGCCTTGGCTGGGCGCAAGATGAACTTTGGGGCGCAAACGAAATGGATATGAAATTTGGGCCTGGGCGCGTTCGCTGGCCAAGTGAAGGT